CTTCTGTGTGAGGTATGTTAACAGCTAGCATTCCTAAGCATTTTTTTCTTAATATTTTTTGTCTTAAGAAGGTATTTGTATCCAAAAAAATAATGTTTTGTCATGTGTCTTGCTGTCATGCAGCTATCTGCACCTAACACACCATAGATTTGAAATAGATTGAAGAGATCTGTTTGTATCATCTTCTTTGTAGATTTGTTCCTAATTTGTTATCAGAGGCTTTTTCATGATATTATTTTCTAATATCTGAAAAATACACTGGAAATCTGTTTAACTAAATTTATCAGAGCATAGAGAAATGTAGGAGTATTCCCTAGATATAACACTGTGTAGCTTCATTTTTAATTTTGCACATAATTCTCTGATTTGAAGTTAAAACTCAGCTAGTAATTTTCGGGCTGAACCTAAGTGTAATTGATAAGATTAATTATATTTTGTGAGAAGTCTAGATTAAGAAAACAATGGTAAAAAGTGGCCAAATGTAAACCCCAAATGTAATTAATGCCAAAAAGGAAAATTTCTGAAATACATAGTATTCTTTCTATGAGATGATCAGTATTTTATATTTTTCAGTTGCTCACCTGTCATTTACATACACGCAATGAAAGGATGTTAGGTAGAAGAAACAGAAAAATGTATCGTTCAGATAGAGGATATGTTGTATTGCACTTTCCGTTAGAAGCAATGTCTGCAAATCCCAGAAGGCTTGCAAGTTTAGTTTTTTCTCTTTCTGCTTTATTATACTTTCCTGCTGATTCTTAAATACTGAGTATGTGAAAATACTATATTAAGAAAGCGTAGCATAATGCTTACATTCTTCTATTGCAAGTATTAAATAGAGCTGTGTTTATTATATGTCACTTTAAGCAAACACGGAAGAAAAATCAAACCAGATACTGTGTCTGCATGCTTTGGAGTTAGCCCTGTGAATTACAAATTACAAATTCTCCTTTGGAAAACATGAATCAGTATGAGGAAAATATTCTTTTGATGTGCTTCTTCCATGATAAATTAGTTCATCATGAATTCCATCCTATAGCACACTTGTGATCTTTTTTAAAAAAAACTTTTTTTTTCAGGCAGTTGGTTATGCTAATTAAAAACGTAGACGTGAAAGATATATTATTCTTAGTAGATAATGCAGGTGCATTCATTTGCAAATGAATTTTAAGTTGGTCTGCAGAATTCAGTTGGTGCTCTTATATATGTCTTTCCATTCCTCTCATAACAGTCTTAGCTATAGCAGTAGCTTACTTCACTCAGCGTAGACAAGCTGCTCTTACAGACTTGTAGTAAGTCCTCAAAGCAAAAAAATTCCTCATGCCCTCAGCAGACTCTAAACACTTTGCCCTTTTCCTCTTGTTTTAAAGTGGTAAGTTTTTAGTGATTGCTGTGTTTATTTTCTTTAGTTTATTTTGTCTTTCTCACTAAAGTATGATTTTTTGTTGCTATTGCTTTAAGATGCTTATCAATGGGTATGTGTCTCTGAATAACCAGGTGCAGGAACAATAGTTGTTTCCAATCCAGATGATGACTGGGGGTTGAGATGACACATCATGTGAAATTAATCAGTTTTGGGTTAGAAAGCATTATCATGTATGCAATTGTAAATTTTATGGGATATTTTTGGAGAGGGAGATTACTAGAACTCAATAGGTATGCTCTGTTTGCACATACGAAGTTATTTTCAACTTTTGGATGAGTGCCAGTTCTCCAAAAGATTTTAACATCATTAGCAGTGAATCTGGAAGAGAAGAAATATCTTAGCAGAGTTCTATTTGTATTAATAGTAATCCAAGCTGATAGTAGATGCAGACAGCCAAAGCCTCTTAGGCTGAACAGATAATACCTATGTTGTAGCAAAACCTTGGTATACATCAAATGCATAATTAAGAGAGATGATATTCTGCTTGAAAGTCATTTGTGAGATGTATTAATGAACAGAACACCTTGTCATTCAGAAGAATAGTGGTTATTGTGGTCCTCCTGTCTCCAAAAGAAGAAAAATTCATCTAGCTGACAAGAAAGCCTTAAATAATAGGCCAAAACTCAAACGTGGTCCTATCCCTTTCCTTCCTCTCCTGTCTCTAGAGAGGCTACTGAGTTTCCTGGGGTGCTGTTCAGTTTCACTTTCATGTGAAAAGGTAAATTGGTTCCCTCTCAAATGAAAGTACTACTCAAATGAGCCCAACTGTTTAGCAACAAACAGTGTTGGGGGAGGGAAGCTGTGAAGGCAATTTGGTTTTTTAAATTCAGTCACCAGCACTTGTTAAGCAGCTAAACTTAAGAGAGATGTTTGCTCCAATTCCCTCCAGCCCCAGTTCACAGCTTTTAAAGTGTGACTATAAAGTTCTTTTAATTCTGAAAAAGTATCTCAGAAGCAAAGGATTCACTGATCAGTCCCAATTCCTTTACTGTAAAGCAAAAGTATTCTAAATTAGACATTGGCATTTTAATGGAAGAAAGAAGGTAGGCAGGCAGGCAAGAAGGTAGGTTTCCTTTGACCTCCTATGTAACTAAAATCCTTAGTATATTTTAAAGGTGTAGAAGCTTAACATCATTTTCTGCAGTTCCTGTTTTGGTGCTTTCATTTAGTTTGTTAATGAGTTACATTTTTGAGGCAAGCAGACCCTGGTGAGCATCTTTGAGGTCTTGATAACATGTTGTGATAATAAAAAGAAATACAACCCCCTGTTCCCAACCTGGGAATTCTCCAAAAATTGCAAATACGGTATTTTAGGAAGCAATATTAGTGAATAAAAAACCAGGAGAAACATAACACAAAGCCATATTTAATATAGTATTTTGTTATGTTACTTCTGCACCCAAAGCTGTTTTAGGGCTCCTTTTGTGAAAGGATAGCATAAATCTTTGATAGCTAGATATCAATCATAGTCTGGACTAGCATGCTACAAATAATCAGTAGCAATCAAATATACCAGTATTATTTTGTACTACCAGGTAGACAGCTTTGAGTTGACCAGAAGATAATTGCTAAAGCTGATATAATTTTGCAGTTACAGAAGGAGCTGTAACATCTCATGAAAATGGTGTTACAACCTCACTGAAGCATCATGGAATTAGTATCTCTGTTTACTTAGTCCTTTTTATTCACAAAGCTGTGTGTGATTTTCTGTGGTCAGAAAAGCTGGCATTTATTCTGACAGGAGTTGGAAATAAAGCTAGCCCAAGGCAGCAGAATATCCCTTGGCCATGCGGTCAGGTCCTGCCCTAACAAGGAGAAGAGCTTGTATCCTGTAATGCTTTCCTGCTACCTGTGACAGGTGAGAGGGAATATGCTAGAGGCCCATAAAGTGGAGAGGAGAAGCAATTTACCTATGGGAATCAAAACAACAGACAGTATTTGCAGTCTGCTTCCTCCAGTCCTGTCCTCTCTCACTACTGCGTGGTTGTTCAAATCCACCTAATGATAGGGCCAGAATGGTTTATGTAGTCTGCTGTGGGCATGCATTTCCTGCAAAAAACAAGGAAGAACCTGCATCCTAGTGGGATGGCGTGAGAAGAGGTGACTTCTCTCATTTGCAATTTTGCTGCTGGGATTCAGTGGGTAGGTTGTGGGCAGAATGAAGATTTTTGCCATTTAGCATGTGGTAACGGATCCTGTTCCAAAACTCATCAGAGCTGGGAAGAGGATTTAAAAGGACAAAATTTGGCAAGGGGAGTTGAGGCTACCCATGTCTGGTGAAGCAGGGAAGCAGCTTCCTGTACGTTATTTCCCACTCACATTTCACCCTTCCCCGTCAAAGCTTTATGAAAGATGGTGGCAGAATCCCAGCAGTGCCTGCACTGATTCGGATACACTGATGGCAGGAACAGTCAAGGACCACAGTATGGTTTTATTTCTAGGTACTGTTCCCAGATGACAATGAAGTTGCAGACTAAATAAACCACAGCCCTTGTGTCTCTGTATGGCTGGGACAATAGCGACTAGCTCTTAGTTTCATTGAAACGCTAGTGTAGTCTGACAGGTGCATTATGTGCATGCCTAAATCAATGAACAACAGTAAAGGGAAATATCAAGCTGCCATGAAAAGGAGACGGAACCGTGAGAAATATTGCAGTTACTCTATTTTGGATCTCATGAGTGGTTTTGGGACATACTGAACTATGAATGTGCATTAAAACCACTAATACTGCTGGAGTTTAAATTGAAGTGATACAAAGCAAGCCTTTTTGTTAAATACATAGTGTGAAAGTGAGAAAAATATACTATTGGTAGTTTTAAAAGTTTTATTTGGGGATGATCTGAGCTTAAATTATTAATTATAAAACTTTGTGACTCATTAAATATTAGTTATGTTTAGAAAAGTAAAGTATGAAATTAATTTACTGTTAGCTGCAGGAGTGCCTTCACTCTGCACATTATTTAGGTTTTTTTAAGTTTTAGAAGAGTAATTTTTCTATTTGGTATTTACCTGTAGCAACTGTGGAAACTGATGGTATATTCCTAGTGGTGCTGTTGCATTATAATAGTAATGAAGATGGCTATTTTAAAACTTCTTAATAGCACCTGCTTTTCAAATTACTACATCTGTTAGTAGTTGCATTTACTAAATTTTCCTGTGGTTATCTCAGTGGACCACTCCAAGTCTGGAATGGGTGCCTGTGATATGGCAAGTGTACCTTACACACGTTACTTCTAAATGTCCCATGAGTTAATTGTATTATCTGATTTTTAGCTGTAAGAATGCTGTAATTTTTGTTGACGTTCTGTGGTATGTGCTGTTGTAGCAAAACTACACAGTATAGTTTCACATCATGTTTATAAAAATCATTTAACAGACTGAGTAAATCTGTGCATATAATCTCACAGCTGTTTAAAACTACTATGGTATATGAGTAATATATAAACTTCTGGAGTAATGCCAAAGCAGTGTGCGCTAGGAATTGATTCCTTGCTTTATTTAGTTGCTTTCATAATGACATTTTAACAGTTAGGAATGTAAATAAATACTTTTTCATTGTGTTTTCTTCAACAGGACACTACAAGTATAGAAAAAATGTCAAACTGTTGTGAAGACATGTAAGTGCTGTAAAACTTCATTTATTTGCTGAAAAGCTGAAGAAGTAGTTTTTAACTGTGTGAGAGAGAAAAAGAAGTGAAGGCACTTTAAGACTATTTTGCAGGGTACTGTGCTCTGTACTTCCTATCTCTAGCAGCAGCTCACTAATCTTTTAATACTGGTTGTACACAAAGTAACCTCACATTATTCCTGTTCCTTCCCTACCCAAAGCCAGTTGAACTATATTTTCTTTCAAAAGTATAGATCAAAAGACCCTTTCTGCTGTGTCTTGACATACATTTCATTGATTCCGAGTTTCTCCTCTGCTTCAAAAGTTGCCTTTGTTTGATTGACGACACAGATATTTTCTGTTCTCCGAAGTTAAGTCTCAGCTGCATGCCTTAATGAAAGAAAAGCTGTATTTGTGATGCTGGGACACAATTCATCAGGTCCAGTAATGGATCCCCAGCCAACCTGCATTGTTCTAGCTGACTGAAGTGCACCGTGGGCATGCTGTTTTTCACTAATAATGCTGTCTTCTGTAGATCGAGGCCCCGAAAGCCGTGGCAGCAGACCTTCTCAGAAGTTTTTGGCACTCAGTGGAAGATCCTGTGGTTTATTCCTTTCAGGCAGAGGCAACCACTGCGAGTTCCCTACCACTTTGCCAATCATGTCTAAACAGATGGATGGTGGGCACAGATGGGTCCTCCATGCTGGAAGTGCATTACAGGTTTTATGATAATAGGACTATGACAGTCTTTCAAGTCAATTAAAATCCACCCACCAATCATAAGCATCACAGTGTGCCCCAGGCTTTATTTTAATAGTGGTCTTGATTCTGTTCTGAGATTAATAGAAGTTCTATGTTTAACTTTAGACCTATTTACTTTCAATTGGTTTTCCAAAGAGATTTCTTTTGTCTTTGAATTTAATACCAAAACCAAATGACTGGAATACAATCTTACTCTATTGTTTGATACTGTCTCTTTTGATTTTTTTTTTTTTTTTTTTAAATTTTTTTTTTTTTTTTTGGGTAGGAAACACTGAAGTTTACACTGATTGTCAACTTTCCCACTAAGTGTCTTATTCTGGCTTGAGTTTTTTTTAGTGTTTTTATCAGTAGGTCTTTATAGATAATATTCATGTCTTTTTTGTGCTACATGTGTTTAAAATTCCCTCATTTAAATTTTAAAATTTAAAACTGCCATTTATTTATGGTATGCAATACTAATCCTGCAGCACTTCACTATAAAAGTTAACATTTAAAACTAAGGCAGACTTCGTCCTAAACCTTTCTCAGAGAGGTTTTTATAAATACATATAAATGAATGTGTTCATATAGAGAACTCTCACATCTTACAGTTATCTTCCTGCATAGATATGATCTTAGTGAAAAATATTAATGTCTTTATGTCAATAAAAGAGATTAAATGTTCAGGATAAAATAGAGAGATAGAAAGCATGTCTTCCGTATATCCCAAGGATTTCTTTGCAGTAATTCAACAAAAGTTGTATGGTACATATAGTAGAATGATTTGGTTTTAAAAATGCAGATTCAATTATTTAGCATAATGTACCACAAAAAAGAGTATATTGTCAATAAAGTTAGAAATTTTATACTTACTTTTCTTTAGTCATGATTAGCTGAAATTTGTCTAAGTGTTTGTATATTGGAAATATATGTAAAAATATTTTTTAAAATTTATACATAAATACAAATATTTGCTACTAACATGTAGAGTGAAGTATATTAACTGATTTAATAGGGTACTGTGTTGATGTACGGTAGCTTGTTGTGGGCCCTTCAAGTATGGAAGTAGTTAACCAAAGAAATCATCCTTAAGATTACATCTGGTAAAATGACAATGATTTCCAAACTACTGGCTCACCTTTGCTTTATCTGGAAAAATTAATGTCATTTATTATAGCCCTCTGTATCCATAGATATACCAGCATGAGATGATTTTTGAAAGTCTGTGAATTTTTATGAGAAATTCACAGCTTCAGCATTTTCAGTTATGGTGCTCATTGTGTTTGTTGCCTAGTCTAACAGGACTAAGATCCACCTGAAATGACAGCCATGCAACAGGATAATAAAAGGCACAACAATATATGTAGATCGTGTCTGGAGAGAGTAACAGTTCATTTGTAAACAGCTCATTCAGAAAGAAGGGCTAGACTTGTCCTGATGGGTATTCATAATGAACTTTTTGATCAGCTCTTTTAAAATCTTAACATGGTCACTGCTAATGTTGGGTGTCCCTGTATTGAATTAACAGATTTTGATGATCCATTGAAAGCTCCAAAAGGTGCATCTCAGAAATCACTTGAATTTTAAACTTCTAACATTTGAACCAACTTTACTTCCTTCTCCTTTTAAAAATAGATGCACTATTTTCTTCATTTAAATTTCAAGCCTAATGTTCAAACATTTTTTTCATGGGATTTTGAGACATGAATTTAGACTTTATAATGGTATTGGCAGCAATATTTAAACAAAAGGAGCTTGAGAAAAGTGGATGGAAAGTCTGGAGCAGTGCTTGAAATTTCTAAGAATGTGCACGTACATCATAAAGTAATGCCTGTTTGGTTTTTTTGTTGTTGTTGGGGTTTTTTTGTTTGTTTTTGTTTTTTTTTTTTAAGGGATTCCAGTATTATAGTATCTGTGGAACACAGGGGAGTAATTGCAGTTTTGTTTTACATGCCAGTGTTTAAATGTTTCATGCTCAAAACCTAGTAGCTTTTAAAGTTTTTCATGCTAATCAGTTATCACAGCAGATCATACAGTTCCGAAGGGTACTGAGAGGATCAAGAATTTAACTGTTCTTGATACATTCACTGTGAGGGCATGTAATTACTCTGTTTTCTAGTATCGTTTTAGTTAATTTAACCGTGCACGGAGAAACAAACCTGTAATACAGAATCCGCCCGACAGTAGGAACCTCAGTCATAACCAGTACACTTAATTTTTGTGCATGACATGCGGGGAAGTAGAGGGACCATTAAGTTTTGCCGCCGTTGCGGGGATAAAAATCCACGGGCAGCGCAGACGCCACGTTGCGCGCTGTCCGGCAGCATTCTCAAGCAAACGAAGGCACGCAGCGGCGGAAGGGGCGCTGGCGCGGCGCGGGCCGGGAGGAGAGGCCGAGGCCAG